CTCCATCCCTGGAAGTGTTCCAGGCCAGGTTGGATGGAGCTTGGAGCAACCTGGGCTAGTGGGAGGTGTCCCAGCCCATGGCAAAGGGTGGAATGGGATGATCTTTAAGGTCCTTCTCACCCAAACTATTCTGTAATTCCATGGCCCTCCTCCCCTACATCTGCCATCACTGCAGCTTTCTAGCTCTTATTATCCCAATTATGTCAAGCCTTTGGAGAGGGGCTGCTGGACCAGCCAAGCTGTGTCACGTCAGGTCATGCTGAAATGATTATTCCTAGAATGATTCCTGATAATAGCCCCAGTGGGTCACACCAAGGGTCTGTCTCACTGCCTGTTGGCATCTGACAGCGGCTGGTGGCTGGAGCCTTAGGAAAGCTGCTGCAGAAATCAGGGCAGCCCAGACTGATCTGTCCCTGTGCTGTATCACTGCCCTGATTTACAGCAAAGCTGTGGCTGTGCAGCTTTGCCGTGTTTTTCCTGCAGAGCAGTTCATGCGAGGTGAGGGAGCAGTGCCAGGAGGAGTCCCGCAGCCCCTGCCTTGCAGGGCAGCAGCTCACATCAAAGCAATACAGCTTGATGCTTGAAGAAATCCTAACCCTCTGCTCTCCTGGGAAGATCAGCAGCCACTGGAATTCATCTTGCAGTTTCACTGCACAAGTTTTCATTGTGTTTTTCTGTCTGTAGGATTCTTTCTGATGGGTGAAACTGGGAGGGTTTTGGCCCTTCCTATAGTGAAAGCATTTAAGTGGAGTAACTCCTCCAATGCTCCTTTAGGAAAGACAAGTATTATTAGAATCATAGAACCATTGAGGTTGGAAGAGACCTCTAAGATCATCAACCCAACCATTAACCTGTCACTGCTGTAACCCCTAAACCCTAAACCATATCCTCCAGCACCAGATCCAGATGCCTCTTAAACACTTCCAGCAATGGTGACTCCACCACCTCCCTGGGCAATATTCCAGTGCCTGAACACCCTAACAGAGAAAATATTTTTCCTAACCTCTGACCTAAAGCTCCCCTGTCTCAGCTTCTGGCCTTTCTCTGTAGTCCACTACACAGTGGGAAAAGCAAAACAGAGGGATTGTGACTGGAAAGCCTCTGACTCAGGACTGGCCTGGCAGAAGCTCTGTTCAGCCTTTGACCCAATGTGTTTTCTTATGTTTAAGGAGCCTGTTTGTCACTGTTGGGGATTTAGGGCTCAATAGAGACATTTGGACTGTGTAGGAAGCTTTTACCTTGTATGTTCACCACCACTGTCCATCCAGGAGCCTCTGTACAGAGCCCAAACATGAAAAATAGCCTTGAGACTTTAGCATTGAAGTGGAGGCCAAAGCAGCTATTGTCGCAACCCCAGAATGCCTAAATGGGGAAGGGAATGTCACTGTCACACCTCACAGGGCTCTCTTCACTGAGGGAGAATTGTGCTTTTAGATGTGTGTGCTCAGCCTTTAAATATCCCTCTGTAAACAAGCAGGGATTTATTTTTAGCCTAATCACTGGTCGAAGGGAATCCTGAATCCTCTTCTCTCTCCCCACTGGGATTCACTGGAGGTGCTTTTAGTCCAGGAATTGTGAGCTGTGGTGGCTGATATTTCACTGTGTTTTCTTCTCAAGCCTGTAGCATTAGTCATACTGTAAGTTCATAGAATCATAGAATGTTAAGGGGTTGGAATGGAGCCTAGAGATCAACTAGTCCGAACCCCCTACCCTGGGCAGGGACACCTCCCACCAGAACAGGTTGCTCAAGGCTTTATCCAACCTGGCTTTGAACACTGCCAGGGCTGGGGCAGCCACAGCCTCCCTGGGCAACCTGTGTCAGTGTCTCACCACACTCACAGGGAAAACTTCTTCCTAAGAATTTCCCTCTTTCAATTTCTCCCCATTACTCCTTGTCCTGTCACTGCAGTTCCTAACAGAGTCCCTCTGCAGCTTCCCTGGAGCCCCTTCAGATCCTGGCAGGTTGCTCTGAGGTCTGCACACAGTCTTCTTTTCTCCAGGCTGAACAGCCCCAACTCTCTCATAAGGAAGGTGCTCCAGTCCTCTTTTCAGCTTTGTGGCCTCCTCTGGACTTGCTCCAACAGTTCCATGTCCTACTGATGTTGGGGACACCAGAACTGTGTGAAGTACTCCAGGTGAGGTCTCACAAAAGCAGAGTAGAATGAGCCCAGTTGACCTTGCTAACCTTTGTTTTCTCATCCCCTGTTAGCTGACAATGTCCCTGTAGTTCCCTGCTCGGGGGCAGATATGTCCCAGTCTCTCTGTGTGGTGACAGAGCTGTGACCCTACAGCCTGTGATAGTGCTGAGCCTGCTGGGGATGCTGCAAAGCATCCAGACTTGGGCATGGCATAACTTTCTCTTTAGCTGCAGTGTATCTCCCTGGAGCAGCAGTGGGTGGAGGAACCCTGGGGCAGGGACAGTGGCATGGCAGGTCTCAGCACGGTTCCTTGCTCGTGCTCTTGACTGTGAGCTGGGACAGGTCAGCCAAGGCCCAGCTCGTACTGTCCTTCCCCAAAACCAGCTCTGGATCCTTTTGGTCTCACTCCAAAATCCCACACTCCCAAAGGAGCTGGAAGGACATGGTACAAAGCAAAGCCAATCTAAAATTCCAGACTTACTTTTGGCCTTCATTCTTGTAGGCTATTGTGGACCATGTGGTTTGCTTTGTGAAGGCATCCAACTCTTTCACTTCTAAGTTTAAATGTTCTTGTATTGAAATGACACCAGATCCTAGGGATTTAGGGGGTGGGGAATGTGGAGAGCCAATGATCCTGAAAGGATACTGGCACAAGTTGCCCAGAGAAGCTGTGGCTGCCCCTTCTGGGTTGGATGAGACTTGGAGCAACCTGAGCTGATGGAAGGTGTCCCTGCCCATGGCAGGGGGTGGAACAAGATGGTCTTTAAGGTCCCTTCCAACCCAAACCATTCCATGATCATATAAGTTTATGATTCTATGACAGGTAGCCTGTGCTGGGACTGGCTTTGCTCTTCCTGTCCAAAGCTCCCCTATGAGCAGCCCTTGGCTGAGCCCTGTAGCCACTTCTCTCCTCTCTGCTGCTGTTTCCCTTCTTGCCTGTGAGTCACCAGGAAGTCCTGTCACTCTCATCACTGACTCAAGTGAGACCATCAAGTCTAATTGTTGCTGTCAGCCCCAGATACTGCAGTCCTGAAGTCTGAGCCTCTCTGTGGGTACATCTGAGCCTGTCTCTGCCCATATGTTCCAGGAAGGCTACTCTCAGCCCTGCCTTGGGCTCTGTGTTTCCCAGAACTCCTACCAAGGCAGGGCATGATGCAGGGTGGCCACGAGCCCTTTGAAATGCTCAAATACTCCTTCCTCCTCCCGTGGTTTTATGTCTCGGTGCAGTTTATTGTGTTCTTGCTGGGAGCAAGAGAAAAGCCTCCAGCTCCAGGAGAAGGGCTGAGATTGCTCCTCCCTGAGCTGCTGGTGGCTGGTCAGAGCTGGACACTGCTGCCAAGCTGGCATGGGGACAGTGAGGGGTGACTCTGCACAAGGGGGGTGAGGACATCCAGCACGTGGGGCACTGTTATCTTGTGTGTGACATTTGCCTGTCTCTATAACAAGCAGCAGGCTCTGGGGAGTGATCAGGGCACTAAAATAGTAAGTGATTTGGAAGAGCAGGAGAGTTTTTAGCCATTGCTCTCTGTGAAGCTTGGCCAGGAGCCTTTAGACAAGACCTGGTTTAGGCTGTCCTAAACCTCCTGGCAGGAGGGTCACACTGGCTGGAGTGGGTGATACAGAGGGAGTGAGGGAGGAATAAGGCAAAAAGTGTTGGAAATTAAGCTTCAGTAGTTGCATTAACCACAGAGCAACCTGTAGGTAGCAGGAGTTTCTCAAAATGCTGATGCGGAGGCAGCACCGTCCTGGGCAATCCTCTCCTCCATCCCTGTGGTCGTGGCCCTGGGAGCACCTCTAAACCCTGTGCAGCCACCCCTGGCACTGCTGGTCCAGCAGGTCAAGCAGAGGATGAGGGTTTCCACTGATCCAACTTCTCCTCCCACTGCCCCACTGACCTGCAGGTGTTGTTTGTCTCATAGCCCAGTGGGTCAGGACAGGGACAGCTCCTCCTTCTTGTGTGTGCAGATGCAGCTGAGTGTGGTCTCAATAGCCTTTTTGGGTAGTATTGTTATAAAATAACTATATATCAGCCCTGGAAGCTTGTCCTGATGTTTCTGTAGTGTTTCATACAACAGCAGCATTAAACTTTATCTACCTAACAGGGGTTGCAGCCAAGCACTTTGATGCTAATGGCTGCAGCAAGGCTTTTTATTTATATGCTCTCAGAAGTGTATTTTCCAATGCAGCAGAGCCATTCCTTGTCCCAAGGACCACAGGCGTGATTCAAACCACCTGTTGTCAGAATGAAACATGGAATTGAGAAGTATGAGGCTGCAGGGCTTTGCTTTCAACAAGTTTTGGTTTTAAGAAGAGACTCTGTATTTGGTTAGGTTCTAGCAAAGAGCAAATCATGAAATCACAGGATGGTTATAGATCATCCAGTCCCACTCCTTGCCATGTGCAGTATAGATCATCCCACTCCTTGCCATGTGCAGTGACACCTTTCACCAGCCCAGGTTGCTCCAAGGTCCCATCCAATTTGGCCTGGAACACTTCCAGGGTTGGGGCAGCCACAGCTTCTCTGGGCAACCTGTGCCAGTGCCTCAGCACCCTCACAGGGAAGAATTTCTCCGTAATATCTAATCTAAAAATTTGTTGTAATTTAGTTTGTGTTTTAAGTGTTTCCCATGTGCAGTGACACCTTTCACCAGCCCAGGTTGCTCCAAGGTCCCATCCAATTTGGCCTGGAACACTTCCAGGGTTGGGGCAGCCACAGCTTCTCTGGGCAACCTGTGCCAGTGCCTCAGCACCCTCACAGGGAAGAATTTCTCCGTAATATCTAATCTAAAAATTTGTTGTAATTTAGTTTGTGTTTTAAGTGTTTCTCTGAAAGCTGATGTATCTTCTTGTCTGTTCCCTCAGTGCTGCTTACGGCAGTGAATTGCTACAGTGTGAAAGCTGCTACTCGTGTCCAGGATGCCTTTGCTGCAGCCAAGCTGCTGGCACTGGCCCTGATCATCATCCTTGGCTTCGTGCAGCTTGCAAGGGGTGAGTACATTTCCTTTTCCTTTGGAAGGTGCTGTGCAGTTAGAGCAGAAGGAGGGAGAAAGCCCAAGAGTCCTACCCCAAGATTTCATCCCTGGCAGAAGGGCTTTTTTGTGCTTGGATGATATTTCTAGCTTATGCTCTGCTGAGGTTTTGCATTTTGTTTGTGATATTTTGTATTTCTACCACTGTTAGGCTTGATTTTGTGCTGTTGGAACCCAGCATGTACCACCCAAGGTATTTCCCACTTAATACAGTCACTGGAACCTCTCCCTTTGGGATTGCAGAGCTGCCACATCTACAGGGAGTGAACTTTTTGTGCTCTTGCACTTGGAAGCCTCTTCTGTAACTGGTGGCTGGTTATGGCCATTTGCTAGTAGAGATTAGTTGTACATGCAAACCATCCTCAGTCATTTTCGTTCTTCTACAAACTATCCCTGCAAGTTTCCCTTCTCCTCCTCCAGGTGTGGAGTAACTTGGCCAAGCCCATGGGTCACACAGGGACACATGGGTCAGACAGGGCTGCAGAGGCCATGTGAGTAACAGAGATACTGGGGCTCTCATCTGACACTAGCACACACATCTGTCAACCAGCGTCTGAAAAAAAAAGATAAAAATGGGAAGATAAAGCAAATTTTTGGTGGTTTTACTTGTTTGGTTCATGCACACATCAAATCCTCTGAAACCTAGGGAGATACTTTGTTCCAAACCCATCTGATTAGTTAATCCACACAGATCAGCTTTAGTGTGGCCTTTTTTGTGCAAGTTCTGTGGAAATCAACTTCTTTTTCAGGGAAGAGTACAGGCCCTGTTTGTTAAAAGAGAGAAAATCCCCAGGGAGTGCTGTCTCTGTACAGTATGTCTGTGTGTGCACATGAATCTCTCTAATTCCTGGCTCAGCTCTGGGAGCCAGTGCTGTCTTTGCAGAATTTCTTGCTTTGTCAGAGGTTTTATTTTCTTCCAGCTCAGTGCTTGGGCTCAACAGAGACATTGTTTGAGGCTTATCACAAAGCACACCTCCTTCCTCTCCACAACTCCCCATGCTGCTGTGCTGAACCCTTTTTTCCTCTCTTAGAAGGAAAAAGCTTAATCACCATAAATCTGTTTGAAAAAAAATCTTAATTTTCATCTTCTGTATCTCACCTTCTCTCCCTCTGTACTGTTAATTTGGCCTTGTGTTGAGGAGGAAGCACTTGCTGCTCTGGTTCCTCAGGTGTAAATCCACTATATTTCCCTTGGCTTATATCTGTAACCAGTGGCAGTGTTCCAGGCCAGATTGGATGGGGCTTGGAGCAACCTGGACTAGTGGAAGTTGTCCGTGCCCATGGTGGGGAGTGGAAGAAGATGAGTTTTAAGGTCCTTCCAACACAAACCATTCCATGGTTCTATGTACAAAAAATTCCACCCTCTACTCTTCTGTCTGAGGAGTTATTTTCCTTTTTCTGAAGTTCATGACAGCTTCAGGTGTTTGTAGCTCTGCAGAGGTGCAGCCATGACCTGTACCCACCTTGCAGTGCAGCTCACTCATGTGATTTCTTTTCCTGCTAACCCATGTGGCAGCTTCAGGCAGGGTGAAAGGTAAGAAGGTCAAAAGCAATAGTTAGGTGATAACACCTGAAGGCAAAGAGGTGTTGTCTGAACACACAACACTCAACATAACTGTGTTCCAAGCCAGGCTGGATAAAGCCTTGAGCAACCTGGTCTGGTAGGAGATGTCCCTGCCAAGGGCAGGGGGTTGGGACTTGGATGGTCCCTCGGGTCTGTTCCAACCTCTTAACAATTTATGAATCTATAAGCAAACTGGTTCAGAGTGGGATCCTTGGGATCTGCAGAGCATTCTGGTTTACACCTTGTCCTAAGTGACACATCACTGCTTGTTTGAGTTCCTGTTTTACCACTGGGATTCTCCCTGGGGTCTAACATGGATTTTACTAATCTCCTTAGGGAAGCTGCAAGCTCTCTGCTAAGTCCTTAAGAACGTGCAAGCTCCTTTCCTGTGGCCTTTCTTAACTTCCACCTGCATTTTGCGACTGGCTCCATGCTCCTTTAAGTCATGCCAGGTGATTTAGCAGGGATACAGCAAGAGATTGTCTTTTTTCCTCTGAATTCTTCAAGGAAAGCATGAAAATTCCCATTTGCAGTGACTGAAAATGGGAAAACACTGCAGTGTTCTCCATTTTTGTCCCCTAGAGAACCCCATTTCCATGCCTTTACTGCTCCTCCACACACTGCCCTTGTGTTTTGCTGTTCCCATTCCAACACTTTTGGGACAAAGAGGACTCTCCCACCACCAGCTGGGTAAATCCATCCCACTCTGGTGACTGTTTTGGAGTGAAATCCCCTCCAAACTGATCTGCCTGAGGCTGCTGTTTCAGGGCTTGTGTGTTCCCATGATGATTAACTGGTTTTAATGACAATTTTAATGATGATTTAACTGGCTGATGAAATGGTTTTAATGGTTCCTGTCCCAATGCTGGTTTGTGTTTACAGTATCTATAAACAGACAAGAGAAGCAACACCACTTTTTTTTGTTCAAATGTGGAAATTTCTGTGAGAGAAATCTCTCCGTATTGACCTCTCCTGCCTCCAGCTTTTGGCTTTTCCTCTCTTTCTCCTTTCACTGGCTATTTTCCTGGTTTCAGACAAACAGTAACATCTCAAGACAAAGAACTCTGTGGCAATATTGCCACACAGAAAAGAGCATTTCCCTGTGATCTCCCTCAGGCAGCTGTTTTACATCACTCCTTTCATGCTGCTTCAAAAGGAGGGTGGAAGTTGCTTTCCTACTCAGCCTTTCAACTGCTTGAGAGTTGACTCAGTGTAGCTGATCCACTTGGGATGAAATTCTTTTATTAATACAAAAGTTACATTTTTAAAAGCCTTTTTTGGGGCTGGAGATGTATTGGTTTAAAAATTTCAGTGCCCTGGACTCGATGTGTTGGTGTATGAAACCTTCTCCATGAACTCACCAGGCTGCAGCACTGAAATACTATAAATAACTTAGAACATAGACAGGATCAGGATTTTTTCACTCTAGTGTTATAAAAATTGGGCTTGGTTTTGGTTCTACTGTTTTCCCAGCTCTCTCAAGTGGTCCAGATGGGTATTTTTTGGCCATACTCTTGACCTGGGATGCCTGGGACTAGATGGAGGGGATTTGGACAGTAGGTTTGAGGGATGTTTTCTGCACTGGTTGTGACACAGAGGTCTGTGGTTAGGTTTGCAGCTCTCATTTTCATACCTGATCACTCTTCACCTTAAAAACTTCCCATAAAAACTAACCTAGGCATGAAATGGTGGTGTTTTGGGTGATCTTTAAGGACACGTTCATTTTTTTTACATGCGAGGGAGTTCAGGGGAGGATTTTTTGTCAAAAAAAAACTCATATCAGAGGCATGTTACAGATCTATTTTTTGCTGTTGATGATGTCTTAGTGTTTCTGGAGTGTTTATGTGCCCTGAGGCAGTGGGGCCTGCTGGGCTCCAGCCCTTCTACCGTTCCTCATCAGCACTTCTGCTTAAAGAAACCCCAGAATTGGGCACTGGGGACTTAAGGAAATAGAATTTAACACTTGTTTTATTAAATTACTTTGATTGGATTTATTGTCCCTTTATTTATAGCCCCTTTATTTATTGTCCCTTTTCTCTTTTCATGTCTCATTTCTTATGTTAAATTCCTTGTCTGCAGTGCCTCAAGCACCTGTTTGATGGCAGCAGCATTTGTCTCCCTAAATCCCTTCCCTGGGCTTCTCAGAGACCAGCACAGCTGCATCTGCCACCTGAGCACAGGATAAATTAAGGACAGAGTAGGCATGTTTAACTCCAGACCTTTGCCAGCTTAGGTTGGGCAGGGAGGGTTGAGATTCATTTGAGGGAGTTTTATCATAGTATCATGGAATGGTTTGGGTTGGACAGACCTTAGAGCTCATCCAGTTCCACCCCTGCCATGGGCAGGGACACCTCCCACTAGCTCAGGTTGCTCCAAGCCCCATCCAACCTCACCTGGAACACTCCCAGGGATGGAGCAGCCACAGCTTCTCTGGGCAACCTGTGCCAGTGCCTCACCATGGACAATCTCAGGCAGCACTGCCACCCCCACCCTGATACCATTGTCAAATGATGTTTAGAGGTGATGTTATGTCTGGAAATTCTGAACTCATCACGGGAGGGTTTCTGAAAGTACTGAAAGGCAGATTCAGACCTTCAGTGTACTGAGCTCATCTCTTCTGAGTGGCATTTGTAGTGCTCCAGGTGCAGGACAAGGTCAGAGTGCTGTGGGTGAGCACATCTGGGTACTGCTTTCATTTATCAAATCCCTTTGCCTTTTGTTAGAAAACTCCCCTTTGTCTCTGTCTATCTCCCCATGGCTGATTTCAGTAGTTTCCTGTTCACATTTTATTTCCCTGCCTTTGTTTTGGTGAAAAATCCTGTGATTAAGAAAGGGGCAGGAGGGAAAGTTTACTCCCTCTTCCTTTCCTCACAGATTTTCTTCTCTGCTGCCAGTGGCAACATCAGTTGAGTGTCCCAAAAATGCCCCTTGAGGCAGACCTGGAGGGAGACCCAGGGCTGAGTAGCAGTGATGAGGATACAGGTGTGAGCCTGGGGAGGGTCCTGCCAGGAAAACTGGTTTTCAGGGCTGGTGATTAACTCTCAGGCTCCCCTGAGTCTCAAAACACAATGGCAGATAATGAGGGGAAACAAGAGTGGTCATTGTCTGAATTCTCTGGGGTTTGTACCTGTGTTTAATCACTCTAGGCCATCCAGAGGTGGGAACTTCATGCAAAGAAATCAGCCACGAGTTTTCCTTTGACCTGGGCTGTAGTGTGAACCCAAGAGCAAACCTGATCCACAGGTTGATGTTTAGGAGTTTGTTTTCAACTGATTTATTCATATTTTTCATTTCCGGCCGTATCAGTGTGCACTCACAGCCCAGAAACCAACTGTATCCTGGGCTGATCCCCAGGTGAGGAGAAGATTCTGCTCCTCTGCTCTGGTGAAGTCCCA